TTTCTTGCAATTTCTCGTTTCGAATAAATCTCCTCTCAATAAGCTTGAAGTCCTCTTTCTTCTAACGACAAAGTTTTACCGCGTCCCATACTAATATCAATCTCCTTTAAAACACTCAAATCTACTCAAATTACTATTAGACAACTGTCAATCGGTTGACAAGTGGCATAAGTGACAGTAAGCTTAGCGACCTACGATTCTAAAAAGTGAATGAGAGTAATCAAGTGTCGCACTATCATTTATTATAGTTGCTTCTAACAATTTCTCCATTGTGAAGAACGAGTGAATTAATCGAATTGTTGAACGAATACTTTTAAAACATTGTATCCAATACATGTGGCTTGCTTGTCAAAATTTTGACTATTCACAAAATGAGTTCAAATCTGTTGATGAGAGTAATCAAGAGTCGCGGACTGGCGTTGGAATGCACAATGGCGTTCTGATGAAAATTAGTTAATTAAATGCAATATAAACATAAACAAACTTAATAATTTTATCTTATTCGAATTAATAAAAAACTGTCAAAAAAACAAATACAAATGATTTGGTCAGACGAAAGCACGGTCACTAACAACGAAATTTTCAATAAGCGTAACATCCGTTAATGGACACAAAACAACCGACGGAAAAAAACGGAATCCAGTGATCCGATTCAACACCGATTTAGCTTTAAAATGTGATGCGGAATTTTTGGAACACAAATATTGGGACCTTTTATTTATCACCACACTTTGCCCGCAGAACGTTACCTTAACGTATAGGAAAATCAATTAGAAGAAAGTTTAGATCTCGCGCCGCTAGAAAATGTACAAAAATTGCTGGTTTCAACAAAAAGGAGCTTCTGCGCACAATGCCACAGACTACTTCAGACATAGACACAGACTGTTTCGAGACTACCTGTCTCAACAGTTTCCAGATCGATCAATCATCAATCGATCATCAAGATCGATCGGAACTGATGGTGACGTTTCCTGGCCAGCACGATTGCCAGACTTGACCCCACTCGACTTCTTCCTTTGGGGTTACATTAAAAACCAAGTTTACGTTCCCCATTTCCATGCTGAAGATCAACTTTTGAGGATAGTTGCCGAAGCATTTAAATCCATAACTCATCTAATACCCAGGGTTGTAGATTCAACCAAAAATTCATTCAAAAATTCAAAATAATGGTTACCTGTTTGAACATTTATTATAAATTTTTTTGTTTTTTTTTCTGGTTTTAGTAGATTCATTTTATTTAAATTACTATTTTTGTATAACTTTTTCTTCATTGACAGGTGTTATTCTGGTTTTAGTAAGTTTTGTAAATGGCAGGTACTCCTTAAGTTGACAGCTAGACGTCTAAAATTTGACTATTCAACTGTCTTCTTTCAGGATATTTGTTGCACATGTAAAATAGACTTTTTATAAAAAATTTGTTTTTTGACGCAATAAATCATACTGTGTTATACATCGTTGAATTCGCTAATAAAAGAGCTATCTAATACGTTATGAATTTTTTTGGGTCCATATGATAAACCAAAGTTGATGATGGTTTCAAAGGAACGAAACGTTATCCATTTTCATCGAGACCATACTGTGGAGCTTGAAAAGGTGCCATGCGAAAGTATTTTTGCTTTTTGATGCGATTCGAAACAACATATCAGAAAACGACATGTATATGGCCCCCTGATTGCGCAATTTTTTTCTAATTTAACCGACTTCGTATCTCTTACGGTTTTGGAGATCCCCATGCAATCCAATTATATACCCTGTATATCAACAATACATTTGATATAATTTAAAATACTTCTTGAGTGCACTTAAACACGTGCTTAGCAGCGGTACGACAATTTGTATCTTACCTACTCTACATAATTCTTGATTGTGTTCAAGAACAGTTAAGGATATAATTGGAAAAATAAGGAAACCGATATGGCAAACGGAACTGCAGATAAGCAGCAGATGGGCTGTTGATTGATTTTTATACTTACCATACTTTGCATAGGGCGATTCAAAAAATTGGCTGCTTTAATACGAAAATCGCGAAATGCGAAAAAATAACCCAATTTTGTCTGGTGGTCGACCCAGAAGAACGTAAAACCCAAAAGTGGAATACTTAAAATTCACAACTATGTATAAATACCCCTCGCCTTGATTTTGGAGAGTTTTTAATTTTTTTATAATGCTTTTTATTTATGCATCACTTTGAGAACTGGCGCAAGTTTTTGGATTTGTGCATTTATACAGAATGTTCCGCAATTACTGTGCCAACTAGTTACTGAGTAAATTTAAATACTTACTGACAATGCCCTGTAGACGTTGTGCAATAGACTCGCTCGTTTAAAATAATCGAACATTCTCCACAGTCCAGTCATTTGTAACACATTTCGAACAGATGTAAAATGTGCATTCCCTAGACGACAATGCTAAATTATACCGTATGAAATTAGATACGAACATATTATAAAAGGGGATTTCGACTTTGATTTCTTTTCTTGACGAAGTAGGTTGATCGCAGGCCTTAATGATAACGGATATTTCATATGGCAGCGTACGTTTTCACACCACATGTTGGGCAATGAAAATTAGATAAACTTTAACGATCGATCTTAAATTAAAATGTAAGAAAGGCCACATTGGGATCACCCACCACTTAGCCATAAGAAATATTCGATTTAAATAATTATAAGGCTCCTTGAAGATAAATCTTCAAAATAGGGTGTTTTCTTTGTATGAAAAATTCCTACAAACTGAACATTAATCTATGGTAATATATTTATAAGAAAGATCAATTAAGTTTATACCATCTATCTATTGCCATTTTGTTAAATATTTAATAAACAAATTCAGCTAAAATTGAAATTATTCATGAATCTCTAAAACGTAATCCTATGGGTTGTGACGTCTCTGGTCATATAAATGGCGGATTGTTTACGTTCGGTGCCTAGTGTTTAGTTGTGTGGTTGTGTTTCATTAATTATTTTGTKAATTTAAATAATTTATAGTTTGTGTTAAACTAAAAAATGGCTTCAAAARGATTCYTTAAAGCGACAACAAACAATTTACCATGTGTACATATTTTTATGGYTAACRAATTTTTAAAAAACGACTWACCCCTTAATTCAGCCGAATTTAAGRGTGTCAAAGCAGCAGTGTAAGTAAAAATCCGTAAATTTATTAWTAGTTATTCTCTCCTTAATATACTAATCTGTCTGTATTAGGTAAATAATATATAGAATTGCACTTATTCAACTTAACCTAACCTATACACATGGCTGCTTTAAAAGTAAAATGAACTCTTAAATTTGTATTTTAGGTATCACGAGAACAATATGGTGATATCGGAGATGTGGAATTGAAACGCGAGTGTCCTTTGAGCACTGTACAAGGTAGAATTTGCCCAGAGCACAGAGTACGATCGAAGGCATATTCAATATGCCTCATCATTAGCTTTTTGTTCGTACTTTCATTAAAATGATCCTCGCACCAAGAAAACATTGATTTTGATTTAGGAACATCACGTCTAGCTGCTTTGAATCATACGGTTAGAAAGAGTTTGTTTGGATCACTTATTGAGCTATTCTTGTATCCTGGCGCAAAACACCACTTATTTTGTGATCCATACATGTCACTGTTTTCCATTGTGTAAGATAATAATAATAATCAATAAAATAATGATAATCGCAAGAACTGAAATAATAAAACAAAGCTGCGAAAACAACAAAATAAACACCAGACACTTTGTTGATATGACCTGCTACGTCATGATCGGGATAGGCAACCGACGATCCGAATTCGGCGTTTTTTGGCGGAAAATATCTGATTTGAATCTAAATTCGCTTTAAAATTATAATAGACTTTTTTGCAAAAAAATATATCAGTGTAATGTTTGCCATAACAACTTTCTATATACCAACATAAAAAAAAGTGAAAACACCCTATTCCGATGCCCCGCGTTTTCCAAATAGGCTTCTTTACTCTCATAAAAGATTAATTAATTCGACTTGAACCCCGTTAAACTGCATGTTTAGTAATTAGTTGGGTTTCTGGTGGCTGGTGGTTATCAAGATGCTGTTTCTAAATCTCAGCGCTCTGCTTCAATGCCTACGTTACTTCTGGCAAATAACGGCTGAATGTGTTTATGTGTTTTGTATGTGTTAAAATTCGTATATTCAAACAAGATGGGTACCTACATATATACACAATCGCGATGTATACATAATGCAAAATTGTTTATACCTAATCAGTGATAATGAATGAAACTGACAATGGCACACAATAAACAATTAGACATAATGAATTCCCATATGCACAGAAAATAAATATTACAATAGCGAAGCAAAAGCATTATTAGTATCAAACAGCCAGAAAGCAATGCGAAGGAAATTAAAGGAAGAGTATAAAAAGACATGTGAAAGCAAAACCGTTTTAATAAAATATATATATACATTTGTACACAATCAATCAATCACAAGCAGAACACGAAAATTAAACACATTGCAACAAAATTATAATGTAACTTAATAACACAGTTATTATGCAATTAGCCAAATAAAGCAAACATGCTAAATGGAAATTAAAGACGAGCCACTATAGTTAAATTATGCAGTATAAGAGTTCAACCGAGTCTAAAGCAACTGATCTTAAAGTAACAAGGTGAGTGGTTCAGAAAATAAATACATTATAATTACAACAGAAAATTCCTTGTAATATACAGTGTTCATAAGTGTAGCTACTTCTCTGTTTCAAACTCCAATATTATTTTTTTCAAAAATATTTAAATGTGAGGATTGGTTCAGGCAAGTGCTGATCTTTCAAGCTATTGGCATGTATTGTAGCAAACTCCCAAATAGTGAAAAATCTGCTTCGTTTTACACTCACGAAAACCTACTGTTAAATGAGTTTAAATTCTTGAAACACATCACCCAGTTGTAAATTGATTGCACCTTCAACATGACTAGTTCAGATTAAAACTCTTATACTGTTGTATGTGATTTGAACGGAAATTCCTGACTCACCATCTATTGTATCTGCCATATCAGGAGGCGCCAAATTTGATAGATCATTGTTGTCTGCAAGGTCTGGTTGGCTACCCAAAGACAATCTGCCTTCATCCTGATGGACACTGACGCTGCCACCCTGTTTAAATTTTCGCTAATTTTATTCATTTTACTTAAATGTCTGGTTTGGTTTTATTGATCAGAAATTTTCTTTTGGGGCGCACGTAATACATGCCCTTACACATCACTCGACTGATATATTTCGCAAGGTTTTGTGCCGATCACAAACTTCCAATTTTCCATTACTCACCGAATGTGTTCTATTAAAAGGTGTAGATTATTCAAAATTATTTTGAGAAAAACACCGAAAATTCAAGCGCTGGTACTGCACATCAAAAAATACAACTTATTAAAAACGTGTCATATATTTTTACTCCGTAATTATAAACTATAGACACTAACATTAGCAACATGTAACTATAAACAATATAATTCTCATTAAAATCTATAAAAAATATATATAAAGATACATAACACTTGCATATTATACACAAGCTACTAGAAAAGCGGTGGGACGTATTTGCCGGAAAAATAAGCTGTAATTATTTTGATAAGTTAAAGCAATTAGTTGCTAGTTTGATTGGCATTTTGAAACATAGACTTAATTTCATCGAATTTGTCATATGTTTTCTTTTGACCGCAAATTTTTCCACTTCAGCTTAACTGAAGAGAGTTCCCACTATTGCGGGTTAGTTATTGCGACAAAAGATTTTGTAAATTAAAGTCTCTTGAATCGAACCGTATGTTACTAAGGACTACTTTAGCTGGGTAAAGAAGCCATTTAAATTATTATTGCCCGGTTTCTGAAACGATTTCTATTGATCCGATAGCCTAAACGGTTCTACAAGTCGGAAAAATAGGTGTCTGAAACGCTCGTTAAGAGCTAGCGGTTCGTTACATTAAAGAACCGATAAACGTGCGATCTCGGACCTTTAAGCTGGACATATGAACTCTGCAGTTGGTGCGGTTCGTGCAGTTTGCAGCTGCCGACGTTGGAATTTGATTAATCAGATTGACAGATTGTATGCTCATACATGTTGGTTATGTTGCGTGTTGTTATCCTGTTTCTTCTGGGCATTTTTGTATTCCTTGTGCCGCTAAGTACGCATAGTTCTGCATTAGTTTATTATTTATATTAACAAATGGCTAACATCAGATTCTTCAACGAAAATTGCTTCTGCCATCTTTCCAAAAACATAAACATAACAGAGCCCCGTCATTCACGTGATATAAAACTCATTCTCCTATTGGTTCAATCGCCAACTGGCGCAAGCAACGCAGGGTTTATAAATTGAAACGTGCGCGCGCGGATGTTTGTTTTTCAAACGGCGGGCAACTGCAAACTACGAACGGCACCAATAGAGTGTTTTCATTGTATCAAAAATTCCTACAAACTGAACATTAATCTATGGTAATATACATATGAAAGATTAAATAAGTTTATATTATCTATATATTGCTGTTTTGTTAAATATTTAATAAACAAATTCAGCTAAAATTCGAATAATTCATTAATCTCTAAAACGCAATCCTATTGGTTGTGACGTCTCTGGTCATATAAATGGCGGATTGTTTACGTTCTGTGCATAGTGTTTAGTTGTGTGGTTGTGTTTCATTAATTAATTTGTGGATTTAAATAATTTATAGTTTGTGTTAAACTAAAAAATGGCTTTAGAAACAATTTACCATGTGTACGTATTTTTATGGTTACCGAATTTTTAAAAAGCGACGAAGGCTTTAATTTAAGCTTTAAGCAGCCAAATTTAAGGGTGTCAAAGCAGCAGCGTAAGTAAAAATCCGTAAATTCATTATTAGTTATTCTCTCCTTAATATACTAATATGTCTGTATTGAATTAAATTAGGTAAATAATATATAGAATTTCGCTTATTCAACTTAACCTAACCTATAGACATGGCTGCTTAAGTAAAATTAACTCTTAAATTTGTATTTTGGGCATCATGTGGAATTGAGACGCGAGGGTTCTTTGTGCACTGTACAAGGTAGAATTTGCCCAGAACACAAAGTACGATCGAAGGCATTTGTCTGCCTCACCATTAGCTTTTTGTTCGTACTTTCATTAAAATGACCCTCACAGAAAAAAACATTGATTTTGATTTAGGAACATCACGTCTAGCTGCTTTGAACCATAAAACCTTACGTGCATAATCATAAGGAAGGCTTAAAAAGAGTTTGTTTGAAGCACTTATTGAGGTATTCTTGCATCCTGGCACCAAACACCACTTATTTTGTAATTCATACATGTCACTATTTTCCAGTATGCAAGATAATAATAATAATAATCAATAAATTAATGATATCACAATAACTTAAATAATAAAACAAAGCTTCGAAAACAACAATATAAACACGAAACGCTTTGTTGATATGACCTGCTACGTCACAATCGGGATAGGCAACCGACGATACGGATTCGGCGTTTTTGGCAAATATCTGATTTAAATTTAAATTCGCTTTAAAATTATTATGGAGACTTTTTTTGCAAAAAAATTATATCAGTGTAATGTTTGCCATAACTACTTTCTATATATCAACATTAAAAAAAAAGTGAAAACACCCTATTGCAGAGTTTATAAATCCAGCTTTATCCTGATTATAAGTTGTAGGAATGTAAAAAGTCGTAGCAAATCAGCTGCGAGCAAAGAACACGGTTTGTAAAAACAGTAATAACATTTTTGGGAGTAAAATTTGTGTGCGAAAGTGAACCAAAGTTTTGGAAATTAATGGAAGATTCTACTTCAGATTCATCTGACGAGGAAGTTGTCGATGTTCTTAATAGTGAAATAATTCGTAATTTTCGAGAAATCGGAACGATCATTTTGAGAAATATAGCGAAGATGAATTGCGAGATCGTTTAGGGTTAACTCAAAACGTTGTTTATTGTAAAATAACAAATTCAGTCAGTGACACAGAGAAACCGGAGTTTATCTGTCACTCTAACCGGTCTTTACATATTCTTTTCTTTCGTTATACGGCTTTGCCTACTTGATAGACTCGATAGTTATCGAACCAATAAGGGAATCTACCAAAAATCGGGCATAAGTAAAGTAAGTATTTCAAGTAGTTTTCTTTGTACTACACTCAAGATCAAAACTTGTATAATTTGAAAAAAATTACTCTACTCCAGACTTTTACATGAAATACCAGATAACAACTGATGTTCTTCCTGCAACTATTCGCGTTTCTGAGATTCATGCACGCTGTACATTGCGGCTAAATAAAACTGAAAGCGAATAAAGAATATTCAGAACCAAAAACGATTCTATGTATATTTTTGCGTAAAATATTTCTATAGACCTACTGTTATAAATATATATATTCTCAATGTTTATAACTACTAACTATCACATTGTATTTTGTGGTAGATAATTTTAAAATATATTTCTGTTACGGCAAAGCCTTAGACAAATATATGTTAAGCGTAATAATCATGTAGTTACAGTATGTATTTCGCGGACGATCAACACACAGTGCGTTAAAGAAAACATTTCCTCTAGATTATTTTCCGGTTGAATCTTATACGGAAAACCTATCACAAGTGGATTAATCAAATTCAAATAATCTAGACCACGTTTTCGAGCTCTTTCTAAACTCCTGATCAAGATCACGTCCATCCATCCAAATTGCGAAAATTGAACGTTTCAAGATATATCAGACAATGAGGATTTTCTAGATATTTCCAGGCCCTGCTTGCCTATAAGAAAAATCCTCCTTTGTGGCTTCAACATTTTTCCTTTCCATTATTATGTCCGTTTCTGCCTGTTTATTACATCGCAAGCTTTCATTAATCATTTCCGCCTCACACGGCTTCTCCTCTTTATATCTACTCTCAGTGCTTGGTAGCAAATTATAGAGGGAAGTCGTCAGGTTCGAACTGGTCGCACTCTTACCATCAAGACCACTATCGGATCTTTCGGCCTTTTCAAAATGGTACTCTCGAGCAACGCATAAACGGTGCGCTTTGCATTTATCATGATGGTTTACTATTTCTAGTCGAAAATTCGTGCTGCCCTCCGCGAAAGACGTTCGTATATCCGGCATGTCTCCGCTCCATTTTCGGCAAAATTTGCAAAACATTATGTTTTGTTGTTCGTCATACTGTAGCCACACATACGATTCGAGCCATGATGGCCGGAACTTAGAGCCTTTCCGTCCCAACTGCTTGGGCATCGCACTCTGTGTGTTTGAGGGAGTGGAGGATGTTCCTCCACTTTTCTGTCCAATCGCGGATTGAATCACAGAACATTCTTGCGAAGCTGACCGGCCTCCAAGTTCCGGCGGTACCGGGAGTGGCAATCTTGAATATAAACTGGGCACTGATTGGAGGCTTGATAGTTCGCTGCCGCTGGATGTTGTTGGTCGGACAGAAATCACGTCATAATTAAGACTTTCTTCCACTGATGGCGAGTCTAGATACTGCCGTAACATGGAATGGCGATGTGGGGGCGCCGGCATCAAAGGTGTTAACGAAAGGCACTCATTTTCTTGATAGGAAGCGAGGGGCGGTGCTGGGTGTTTCCCCCAAGAGATAGAAGGTGTTAGGAATGGGGTCTGTGGACAGAGAAAGGAAGGATATGTGTCAATAGCCTGGTGACTTCTCTTTTTTTATACTAAGAGCATTCTATTAGGGTTCTTAGGATGAGACACATTAATACTTTAAACAATTGAACTTGAAGAACTCTGAGATTTTATGAAAGCATATGAAAAAAGTTCAAACAGATCTAATTTTCATTCCTTCCTCCTTCTACCTCTATTTTGGGGGATACCCAGAAAGAAATCGCGGTTTTCACACGAACTGTGCACGGGGCAATTGCACACATATCCTTACATTAAAACCAAACATGATTGATGAAGTATGGATATGCAAAGGTGATGTGTAAAAGCAAACGACCGTCGCACCGTCGCGTAAAAGCATCTAATGATAGCAAAACTCAAATCAATTAATCGCTTTTTTTGAATGTTGAAGAATTCAAAGTTGATGGGAATTTTTCTAGGGCTCGGAATTTTAAAAAATCTGATATTCGAATATTCGTTTAGTGGCTTATTCGAATAGTAAAATTATTCGAATACTCGAATATCTAACGAATATTTGAGTATTTCTATTCGTATTCGTTAGATATTCGAGTGTTCGTTTTCCGTTCACCGTTTTCCAAGAAGAAAAATCGTTATCTCATATCATTTTTGGCCACTAGCCGCAACGGATAAAAAAGTGCCTTTGTCGGCACATTAATTGTAACACGTCGCAAAAGTAATTGCAACACAGAGACGTAATTTTACATTAATTTGCAGGAGAGTAAATATGATTATTTTCATTTGCTTGTAAATATATGGGTATTTGTTTAAATGCTTGTAGAATATGAATAATTTATTTTATAAAAGTATACAAAGTGCATATAAAGATATTTGCACCTTGTGAGTTTGATAATGTTGGTGTATTCGAGTATTCGATTATTCGAGTATTCGAATATTCGAGTTATGACCACATAATTATTCGCTTTTCGAATATACGAATACTCGAATTATTCGAGTTTGATTCCGAGCCCTAGATTTTTCAACAGTTTCGTTCATTATTTCCATGGATAAACCCAAAGAATGAAACTGGTTAGTTTTTCGAGAAATTATTGTCAAAAATCTTCAAGCCATGAGTGCCAAAGCTCTTTTGAGAAAACCAATAAATATCAACATTTTTTGAGATTTTACATATTTTATCGGCTAATTTTGGAATATTTTGTATCAATCCCCCCTCTACCAAAAGTATGGAATAATGGGGACATTTGTGATCACTGAGGAATGATTACGCTCGATTCTCCGTGCGCAAAAAAATCTCTTGCAGTCGAAATAATTCCTAGTTCTAATCCGCTGGTATGCAACAAATCAATACATGTAAACATACAACTTTTCCAATTGTGAGTGTTTCGTCAAATTCGTCTTCAACCTAAAGCCTCTGTCCCATGCATCCGTATATACGATGATACGAAAGTGTTTCTATTGGATGGAGATCTGTCAGTTCGACATTGAACGGACGAATTGACAGATCTCCAACCAATAGAAACACTTTCGTATCATCTTATGTCTAAGGACATATAACGGAAGTTACGAGGGTCGTTTGATGTTGTGAAAAAGTCAGTGACTTTTTGAATTTCTTGCGCAGTAACTTTAAATTCAACACTGCCGTTTTACGCCGGAAATGGAAAAAAGTAAATTTCGAGTGCTGATCAAGCATTATTTTTTACGTTTTTAAACCGTCAATGAAACGAAAGAAAAGCTTGATCAATGCTATGGGGACTCTGCACCATCAATTTCAATGGTTAAGAAGTGGTTTACTGAGTTTCGTTGTGGTCGTACAGGCACAAATAACGCAGAACGTTCAGGTCGTCCAAAAGAGGTTGTTACCAATTAGAACAGAGACCAAAGAACAATCAAAACAGTCGGTTTCTTCAGGTGAACGTGTACCAAAGAAGGCCAAAATGGGTCTGTTGCTTTGAATGTTGACTTGAAGCTAAAACGGCAGTATTTGTCGAAAAAGCGCTGTTTTATCAGGACAATGCACTGGTGCACACGTGTGTAGTGCACGCAAAAATTCATGAATCAGGTTACGAACTGCTACCGCACCCAGCCAGCATATTCTCCAGATTTAGCCCAATGCAACTATTTCCTAAAATGGCTGGGCGGTAAGAGATTTGGGTCCAATGAAGAGGTCATTATTGAAACATGCATATTTTGAGGACCTCGAGAAATTATATTATTTGGAAGGGGTAAAAAAATTGTAGACGCTGGAATAAGCATATCGAGCTAAAGGGAGATAATGTTGAGAAATTAAACGTGTCTTTGTCCGAAAAAAATATTTAATTCGAACTCGCTTATCAAACGACCCTGGTATATTACATAGACAGTACGTTTTAAAATGTTCCGTAATTCTAAACGCACTCAAGAAACAACAACAAAGATTAGTACTAGATTGTCATGAAAATTATCAAATTTTTTTAGATCTCAACAACTAAAATTTACTTTGAAGATTCTAGCCGTTCGGGATAACGCAATATTTAGTTTCGCCTTCACTTTAAGGCGTTCTAGTCCGTTTAGCGTGTGCTTACGATCTAAACTTCATGAAATATTATTTTCCATTTTCAACCGTTCTATCAACCCCTAAAGCTTCCTTCATACATCATTGTCTCCCGAAATCTCTTTTGAGCGAATTATATTCTTGGGAGAATATATCATTGGCTGTTTGCAAAATAGACACACAAATCAAAAGCTGATGAGGATGTGGATGAAATGATTTTCAATGATTAAAAATGTAAATAAAATCGCTTAAGGATACAACTTACACTTTGTAAAACTTCTGACACTGAGTGGAAAGTATCCACGGGATTCCCATCATGTGGCTCTGATTTAATCGACGGGGTTCCGCCCGCGTCCCGTTCATTTCGACCGCGATCCCGATCAACAGGGGAGTCAGACACAAAAACCTATAATAATAATTACAGAGAATTGTTTCCGACTGGCACTAAATGAAACGATGTTCTTAATAGGGTTCAACAAATACTACTAACCTGTGAGTCTGATGTATTCCTATCAACAGAATTCGATGAATTATCACAGTTGTTATTCGATGCGGTTCGTTTTCTCTTTAAAGCCGGACTGTCTCTACCTTGCTTTTGAACCTCCCGCTCCCTTCTCGCCGGAGGTTTGTTTTCCGTTTCTCTTTCATCAGCTTGACTATTCAAACTGTTGCTATCAGACAAGCCCCTAATCTGTAAGCTCTCGGCGGTTTTCAAGAAGGAAGGAAGGAGGTTCTGCGATACGTTTACTTCGCCCTTATACATGAAGTCCAGCAAGGCTTTCACTTCATTTGGACTCACATCTTTCAAGAAGACTATCGGATGTTTGTTTGGCGTTTGAATAAAAAGCGTTTCAAAGTAAGGAGAGCATGCTGAGAGGACTATTTGGTGGGCCTGAAAGTAGCATGGGGCACTTTAGTTTAGGGACTAGTAGAACAATTTGTGATGGCTGCGGTAGTTATCACTGGACTAATTGTTACTCGCATTGTAAATCAGTGCTTCTGATTGCTAATTGCATTAGCGCAACAGAAAAGTAATTGGAATACATTAGTGTTGAACGCGGTAATCTAGGCGATGTTCTAATTGATTCGAAGTAGGTAACATTAATTACGATTCAATCGCATTTAATTGTTGATTTTTGATCGGTATACACGTGGGGAAAAATTACCAGAACTACCAACGCGTGTCTTTGAACGGCAAGAAACACACATTCAAACCTTCACGAAGGTTCATATAATTGAATCTATCCTGCGATAAAATAGCGATGGTGATAAAAACACTTTGGCAGCTTTAGCTTGCTCCACTTTGATATTCCACAAGCGATCATTTCCCCAACCAATACGAAGAAATTGTGTTGTATATGCAAAATCAATTAGTCAATGAATATTACCAGCAGACCACAAACACGCAATTCCTTTCTATACCTGGAAAACTTGTCCGTTACTTGCTAATGTTACATCACATAGTACTTGTTCCCTTAAAAAATCAGTGAGCACGTCTGTCAAGTTTTTCAAGTGGTTGTTCCACCTAAGGCAGTACTGTTGGGAGTCCATTTCGGCTTAGTAATTTTGAGACCTGTTGAAAGTAAGATTTGGATAAAATTTCAACTACAAATTGGGTGTAAATGAAGTTATTTCCGGAATTTGTTTGCTAAAGTTACTCGAGGAAATTCAGAATAATCTCCAATAACTATTCCACTGTGCTTTGCACATCAACACTTTTACTCATTATGAATAAGATGATTACAAAAATTAACCATGGAACGTGGTGGAACTGAGACATGTGTATGCATATAATAATTAGTTATTAGTAAAATCTCTACATATTGAAGTCGGAATTGTTTGTTGAGACACTGGAAGAATTTTATATTTTATGAGCGCGTTTATCTTTGGGGGACAGGAAACATGTAATTTAAATGTTCAAGCTCTAAATTAACTTTTGGTACACATGATTACGAGTACTTCTTAAATTTTCAGGATAGCCTATCTAAAACAAAACAGGCATTTTCGGGTGTTTAGAAATTCATATTCGACAACACATTTTGAACTTATAGTCAGTCATTCGTTTCACACAAACAGGGCCCAGTAGTATCTGTTTTGAAGGATGTTTTAATTTTCTTTAATGATGCCATACAAACAAACAGGTTGGCAGAAAGTACAGTTTCGAGCTACTTGCAACGTTTCGACTAACTAGATCAGGACTCAACAAAAAAGCAGGATCCTGGAAGGGAAATTTTAGCTAAAAATGGGGCTGCAGAGGTTGAACTATTAAGGCAAATAGATGCAGGCCCCACTTTCGCGCCAGAAAATAAGCTAAACTAGAACCACCACTCAACGGATATTCAAACATCACAAACACATCCATACAACATTCCCTTAGCTCATCATGAGTGAAGATTATTTTTATCGGCGGATAGATCACTACACAGAAACCTGCCAGGGGAAATTTCCTTTCCAAAGTATGTTTTTAGGACGGAACCATAGAATTTGTCAAAAACCAAATATTTCGGCAAATGTTGTGGGGGACCGTTTGGTTTCCAAATTTATAGCAGCGAAAACGTATCTATTTGGAATTACTGAAGAATACCGTTTATTGCTTACTCATTGGCATTGTTCAACATGATGAACGCTATTTGTCTTGATAGCCCAATCAGTGTTGAAACAAGACAGAACGAGAGAAAGTTTTCGTTCATGCACGGTGTATTAGGAAGTTTTTGAACAGAGTTTAGGGAACAATGCATTGAGCGAAGAGAAATATGGGATGGCCGACTAAGTCCCCAGACTTGACTCCGTTAGACTTCTTCCTATGGGACCATTTTTAAAGCAAGATTTAGGCAGCAGAACAGAAAAAATTAAATTTTATTACTGCACAAATTCGGGTGGTGGAAAATTTCAGCATCGTATCAACTAAAAAAATCTTTGCTAATGTTTATTCATTTTCCTAATTTGCAATTGATTCATTTTCGGAACGGAAATCGGAATATGAAAGATCCTTCAAACAACAAACCAAACAAATTCTAGGGGTTTAAGTCACCTCAGTTATGGTGTTGATGTGAAAGATGCGACTATACGTTCATAATGTGTCCCTCTCGAATACAAACTTTAAGTATCCGAGCATTTTTTGAATATATATTTCTAAATACCCGAAAATGCCAATTGCGGTTTTGATGGACCACCCGGTATATAGTGTCAATGGATCCTCAATGAACCGAACTGAAATGCATTCTTCTACAGTAAGTCTACTGAACTCAGTGGAATTTTACATTTTCTGCATGGCAATAATTAGTGAAGTATTTTCAGTATAGCCAATTTTTGTACTGTATGTATTTCTTGTGTCTTGATTTTGGAACCAAACTTCTCTTTTACTGGTGTACTTATTTCATTATAACAATTAATTGACAAATAAAAAACAAAACTGAATTACAACAGAAACTGCTGGAATCGATTGACCAGGAAGCAACATTAATAAAATGCCAACGTGATTCCAATGGAGAGTGAACTCTTTCATTCTTGGTCTAAGAGAGTCAGTTCTATGACCTTCACTTTAAGTTGTTTTTCGTTAAAAATCGTTTAAAAAAATGGGAAGAATTTTATTTAAATGTTTTATGGTTTACTAAGATATTGTTCATTATTATTTATGGTTTAAAAGTACTAATTAAAGGGTCTATCTCCGTTCAACATTACCTCTTTAGGAAAAGATGTAGCTTTTAAAAAAATTAGCCAAATGAACATGGATTTTAATAAACCGTGTTGGATTGCTTAAAAGTGAGTAGAAATAATCTACATGAAACCGATTTCGGCATATCTCTTAATTAAGAAAATATAGAGTTATTTTGAAACTATAACACCTAAGTAGGTATATTACTTTGACAACGCTAAGAAGTACGGACATGGCACACCCTGTACAAAGTCCACATTTTGGCCACTTTACATTTAGCAAAAATTGACTTAAAAATGGTTACTTTTGAAAAGTTTGGCCAAAAAACATTGACAAGTAATATTAAATTGAATCACACCGTATGTAGAGCACACCTCTTAATAGGACAATATTTTTAAAATTATTAAAATGAAAATAAAATCTATTAATCCAATCCAAACGTTCAGCAGAATCAAGCTTCCATTTCCTGTTTGATGACTAAATATACTTTTGTTTACTTTAAAACCAACTTCGCATATCGATCGCTACATGTTTATCTTTTCGACCAAAAAAACCGAAATTCACAACCTTATTAAAAAAACGCATTCTTTTGATGGGATATTACCAAGCCCCTCAAACTATACTAGTTTGGTGTTTGCGTCGAGTGGTGTTTCAGAACATTTCGGGTGCATTTTCCGAGCAATAAAATGTGAATTTGAGTGAAAATTAGGCAAATTGCACGATCACAGACAGACAGTATTCATTTACCATTCATTCCTACTTGATGGGACTTGCATGGCGTACAGGGTGAGCCTTGAGCATATGAATGAACAGGACACTTGTGATTTCAGTAAAGTGCAATTTTAGATGCTTGTAAAAGTTTTTTTATATAGAAACTCAATGTTTTGATACATTTTGTGGGACCAATGCAAAAATATAATCTAAGTATATTTTGACCTTAGTCAAAACTTTTTTTGAGAAAATTAAAACTTAAATGGCGACTTGAAGGATAACCGACCGCAAAATTTGTAGAGGAGCCTTTGAAAGTAACTGGTTCGTTGTGGAAAAGTATTGAAGACTGAACCATTTTAGCAGTAAACATATTTTATGAAGTTTAAATTAAACAGATTAGTGTTAAAATGTTGATACTTTTTTTAAACCACTAAAATCAAAATAGTCCTGACTGGTATCGAAAAGAAAAACGGAATGCAATTGTGATCATTTGAAACGCAACACTCTGGGTTAAGTTTAGATTGGGTTTAATTTTGCTAGTTTGAATTGTTCTCGATTTATTCGCCTTAAAAATCCTGCAAATTTCACCAACAAATTACAGTTTTGCACTTAATTATTGAACATGAGTTGCTATTTTAAAATATTTTATATACAGGGTGGCCATTTTCTGAATCTTTGTATGGGTAACTTCTACATTTTTAAAGATAGAGAATCCGTTAAATTGGGCAGAATTCATTACCGTTTTCAAAATTTAAATTGACCCGACTTGGTTCCTGAAATATCCTGAAAAGACAAGAAATCAACACTTTTTTAATTATCATATAATTCAAATAGCACTCGTTATCATAGTCAACTTGATTTACGAGATAAAAAATAAACTTATGGTTTTTTAAATGGTAATCATAGTTGTCCGTGGGCTTATTTTTTTCTGAATTTAACGATATAATAATAATAATAATATTTGTTTTTCTCCTTTTGTTACCGTAGTCTTTCAAAAGAAGATAACAAATGTGTAGTAAGTAGGCTATGGAAACAAGAACTATATTATCACACAAAGCACAAAACAATAATGAATCGTTTAAATTAAATGTTCAATTTGACTTCCGTTTACGTACAGGCATTTTTGGCATCTTCACATTCAACTCGTGAGTTGTGTGAAGGTGCACTATCATGGTGAAAATATGCTAATTTTCGATACGAAGCTAACATTCAAACAAAACTATTCAACATGTCTTCAAGTTCATTTGGTAAAAAGTGTAAATATCTTTCCATATTTAAATTGTGATTATAAAAGAATGGACCAATAATTTTATCACTAAAAATGCCTCACCAGACATTCACAAAAAAAAACACGTTGATCTCGCCTATTTTCAATTAGATGATGATTTTCATTAGCCCAGTAAACATGATTGTGTCTGTTAATTACTTTATTTTTGTTTTGTGTTTTGTGTGATAATATAGTTCTTGTTTCCATAGCCTACTACACATTTTTTATCTTCTTTTGAAGTTTACGGCAACAAAATTAGAAAAACATACAAATTAGTTATATCGTTAATTTACGTAAATCTCGTAAATCAAGTTGACTATGACAACGAGTGCTAGTTTATTGAATTCAACGCAAAAAGTTCTACCAAAGACAATTTAAACTTTTTTTCTAATTTAAGCATTTTACGTAATAAGTTTTAATAAAAAAAATGTTGATTTCTTGCCTTTTCAGGATATTTCAGGAACCAAGTCGGGTACCTAAATTTTGAAAACGGTATTGAACAGGTAATCGAATTCTGCCAAATTTTGCCCATTTATTGGATTATATATCTTTAAAAATGTAGAAGTTACCCATACAAAGATTCAGAAAATGGCCACCCTGTATATATATAAGCATGTTACAATTTTTCCAAAAAACATCATCACTTTAAGAAAATTGATCAGGCTTCATCAGCTACAAAGTGAAAAAAGTACATCAAATAACTCATATTGATAGTTTGAAAAAGCGATTGTTATATGAAATTATATCAAAATAGGCTTGAAGCATTATTTCAATAGACGCCAGTTTGTTTCTTCATAATTCGAGTTCTTCTAGTTTTGAGTATGGCATATCCACAGTCAACCATAGACGTTTTCCTAAATAATAAGTCATAATGACGCCGTAAAAAACATGAATAAGTCTTTATTATTTTTGGCTCTTTATCGTAAAGCGTTACTAGTAAAATAAATTCTGTGCATTGTGGAAAATTCACATGTAACTCCGCCGATACTTTACCTAAACATGCGCCACATTTTTAACGGGTTTCCGGGCAAAAATAAACAAATTGTTTTTAAGAACATGTGAGTGAAACAAACCGCAAATTTCAGACCCGTTTTCAAAATAAGACAATTTTTACTGTTTGGTTATCATTGAAATTTTAATTTGATTTGATTGCTTGTGGTGTCAATAATATAATACATTTTTACGAAAATTTTAATTCTCTCTTGCCTGCTCATTCATATCAAAATTGTTCGAATTCTCCCAGTTTTCACTCAATCAAAACGCAAATTTCACCTTCAGCTTTTTAAATAAAATGTTCAAAAATAATTAGTTTATTCGTTTAAAAAACAACTACACAAAATATTATAAACATTTTACAGAATATACAAGTAAAACAAGAATGATAACACTAATCTTGATGAAGAAATCAAAACAATGTTTACAATAAACAAACGTGTCTTAATAATGAAAGCTATAAAATGTATTATAATTCCCGAAAAACTTTTAATAAATCAAATTAATAATTTGCAAAATTACACCCTAAATACGGTTTACAAGCCAAACCAGGCTAACATGTGCAAAGTGTTTGGTAAGCAAGAGCTTTCAGTTCAACAGACAGGGTGTCCTAAAATAATGTAGACGTCCAAGTTCAATAAATTTGAATTTAAAAATAAAGTAACTTTCTTTGCCAGATCCTAATCAGATTTGTACCCAAAAAAAGGAAACATTATAATTTTCTCGCAATGCAACTATTGGCTTTAGGGGAACAATTTTATCGTCAACCCACTTGAATATTATGTTATTTAATTCTGCATGATGACTTTTGATTTTAAACATTTTATGTGACGATGGATCAGAACCTGAAACAAGTAATTAATATACAGGGTGTTCCGTAAATATGTTAAAATATGTTAACAGCGTGTTCTCCTAGTCATTTTCGAGCGGGGCCTTTTTTTATTTTTTTTTATTTGAGGTCTCATTTTTGAGATATTTGATCTCCAAAATGGCGAAAAATATTAGTTTTTGTTGTTTTTCTTTAAAACGGTTAAACATATAATCTTCAATTTTGGTATACATTATAAACTAATTGAGTCCCATTCTATGGTAGTGTTGTGTAGTTCAGTTTACTTTTATACAGGAATTGCAAATGTGGAACCCTTACTTTTGTTTTGTTCAGAACTTTTTTGTGTGCACCTAAACTTTTATCAACATAATTTTTTTAATTACTACAAGTTATTTATCAACTTTTTTATCTCTTATTGTTTTTTTCTAATACCACTAGTTTGCTCGCAAAAAAAAATCGTTTCGGCTTGATCAAAAGTTTCCAAGCCGTTAGATTGGGAGAGATCAAGAAGCTCCTTTAAACTCGCCTCCTAAATCTCCCGATCTAAACGCGCTTGATTTTTACTTCTGGGGCCATTTAAAAAATACGGTATATTCAACAGAAGTGAATACAATCGAAGAACTTCAGAAAAGAATATTTAATATTTCTAACGAAATAAGAATTTCAGTGCAAACTTTACTAAACTTTACAAAAAGTAAATTTAAATTTTGCCAAGACTGTCAAAGTGACCAATTTTAACAGCTGCTAAGTCAACATTAGAATGGTTATTTAAATTTAATTATGTTTGTTGGATCGCATATTGTTACCATGTTTACACATTTAAGTACAATTTATTGAAACTTAATAATTGTAATCTAAACCAAAATACACAATTTAGAAAAATAATTTAGGTTGTTAGTAATCAACTAATAATGCGTACCAAAATTATTATATGAAAACGTTATTAGATATAAAAAAAATAACTTAATTACTTACACATTTTGAGAACGGCAGAGAAAACCATTTTATTTGTCGCGGGCAAACTAGTGCCCTTAAGAAAAAACAATAAGAGATAAAAAAGTTGGTAAATAACTAGTGGTAATTAAAAAAATTATGCTGATAAAAGTTCAAGTGCACACAAAAAAGTTCTGAGCAAAACAAAAGAAGGGGTTCCACATTTCTGCCCTGTACAAAAGCAAACTAAACCACAAAACACTAGCATAGAATGGCACTCAAGTAGCTTGTTTCTATGTTTAACCATTTTAAAGGAAAACAGCAAACACTAATATTTTCCGCCATTCTGGAAATCAAATATCAACAACGAAACCTCAAATTTAAAAAATTCTCAGGAAGACCCCCTTCTAGAATGACTAGAAGAACACGCTGTTAAAATATTTTAACATATTTACGGAACACCCTGCATAATGTAAATATAAATTGCCTGGAAGCCTAAGAATCAACCTTTTGGTGGTGGAATATTAGATACTCGTTTCCGGATTATCTGCATGATTTGAAAATAATATAAGACAGTAAGGGGATAATTGACATGAAAAATTGCCCCTGCGGTTATCTACCTGCCTTCCAAAGTAGCCATAAATTAGCACCTCAAAGGTGAAATATCAAGAGTGTGTATTTTGAATGGGTCTGATTAATGAGATTTAGTTTATTACGAAAAAAAGACCTTAAAAGTATCAATTTAGCAACAGTTGAAATAGTATAACTGGAACTTTTAACACAAACAATTTGAGCCCTATTTTATAGTTTTAAGTGTTATTAGATTAATGCGCTTAAAATCACATAGCCGAGAAATGAATTTAGCAGATCACGACTTTGGGTGGATTATGGAAAGACTTAATTAAAATGGGCTGAAAAACTCATCTGGAAACTGGCACTTTGGCTTATAAATAGAACATTGCTGCACTTCAGGTGCTGTATCCTAGGTTTGAGCAATATTGGGGTATTTATCTGAACACTAATGAACTTTTAAGCGAGTAATAACAGCAATTCGTTGATATACAATAAGTGCCCTGCGTCCTAACATTAAATGTTTATCAAAACCCCAGACAGAAAAATAAGCAACCAGGTCAATGATCTTTTTCAGCATTCTCAAGTACAGCGAATAAAGGAAACTAATACGAAATGAATTAACTGTATTTAAAATCATCTAAAGGCTAATATTGGGCTATGACCTCAGCACATAAGGTACCCATTTAACCTCAAAAACCCATCACTCTAATAACATGTGACAATGCAGACTAAAAAACACTTACATCGGATAATGCGAGCCCTTGGGAGCTACCAAAAACAATTGCACACCGCACAGCCAACAGTATTAAAACACTTAGTGAAAAATCAAGATTTGCAAACTGTTCTTAAAATGAGTTATTTGACCTAAAACTGTAACCATGTAGAAAACAACAGTTAAGTTAACTTGAAGCACCAATTCAATTACATAGAAGAATGCATTTCATGAAGGAATCTAACCTCCGTTTAACGTCACAACTTGAAAAAACTGTAGAAGGGCAATGAAGTACTCTAGTGCGTTGGCACCAAAGTTCTATGCCCTTAAAAGTACATTCATGTAGGTTTCAGCTATTTATAGACACTTTATAGCCATGAGGTGACGATTTTTCGTGCATATGGGGATTTAAGGTGATTAAATCAAGGGTTCTTGCACTAATGAGGATGAATGCTGGTCCATAATAATGGTCCCATTTTTTAAGACGCATTCATCTGATGGCCCGCCATTGTGATTTTGTTGAACTGATTTCTTTAAATCTAATTGGGACTAGTTAGCTGGACCCTTCGCCCTTTTGTCTTTTAAATTTCCGCTGATTTTTCAGGATGGACTGTGTGTGAGCGATAGATTCATAGGTGCATTTGATGACAAGGCCCATAACCAATTAAAAACAGTAAAAAACTCAAACTTACCTCCTACAACTTAGACCAAATGAGTAACGATCACAGACAACTAGATAAAATTTCTGTACTGTTATGTTTTTTTAGCGATGGGATGTTGGGCGAAAAAATCATAATAATTACCTACATCCGGACGATTTGGCTTGTGAAATTTGATCGCGTATTGAGGGCGATTTTTTTTGTTTAAAGCTTACATTTAGAAAACGGGAATCAAAGAAAAAAACCAAATTACGAAATGGGTTTAGGGTGACAATGTTGTCGGTGCTCAGATGGGCTCCATGGGAGGATGGACGCTGTCCCTTTTCACTCCCTGACATTACGCTGCAATATCTAGCCACCCGCCGAACTACCCTACATTATTCTTGAAAAATTCAGCTCAATATGTTAACATGCAAAACACGGAAAGCGCATTTTTTCCCAACAATACTCTTTTTAAACTGACATTGTTTTGATAAAAAAAATCAACATTGGCATCGCTGCAGCCACGTAATGAAAGTCTAAAAAGTGTATATCGGGTTGCCCGCTCGATTACCAAATGGAATTATTTTCTTGTGTTGAGCACTTAGTCCGAGCGCCCGATACTAAATTCATTCATTTCTTCAATTCTTGTGTGGTGTAAATATTGAAACAATACTTCTTTGAAGATTCCCTTCTATGGAAAGTCTGGTGTTAGTGTCGTTTATTGTTCGCAGATCAATTTAATTGTTTATTGCTCTGTCAGTGTCAAGTATACATTAGGTATTATACAGGGTGGTTTTTTAGTGCGATAGAGTCCATTATTTCCGATAGTGTTGAACTTTCGAAAAATAGTTTAAAATAAAAGTTGTTAACGCACAAAGTGCGCACATTTTAAAAATATCTTATATGATACAGAGTGTCTCAGAAAAGCGAGGCAAGATCAAAGTGTATTTTTTTAAATAGAACTACTCATTTTTCATTAGCTCATTGAATGCAGGTTGAAACGCAGCATTTGCACCGTAAATTGTTTTTGTCTTACTTGCGACGTTCGCAGATTATCGCCATTTTAGTAAAATTTTGCTTAAAAACATGATGAATTCGTTGTAGAAYMAAAAAAAAGCAGTTAAACTGCGTTAACGATTCATTTCAAAAACGTAGATATTAATAGTTGCTTAAATGTTAAYGGAAATCATATTGAACATTTATTTTAAAATATCACTGTAGGTATAATTATATATTTTTATTTTTATAGACGTATGCAGTTTTATTGCATTTTTTGCTACGAAATTCCATGCATTTTATAAAACGTTGCACTTTTCTTCATTGATTATGTCAAGTATCATCAAATTTTGACACCTATTTAATGAATTCCATAGCCACCTTACAAAATGTAACAACTTTTTGACATTTTTAAATAAAATAATTTATAATTTGAAAACGGTTGATTTCACAGCTTAAAGTGTAAATGCAAATTTGTAACTTTGTAAATTGTCTATCTAACGGCGTATTAATATACAGGTTAATTAATATACTTGCGTATTAATATACTTCTATTTGAAAAACAAAAGTTATATTGCATTAAAAAGTTTTGGATTCAAGTCCACATTGTTAACACCTTGTACAATGTATTGATTTTTGGTTCAATAGAATTCTTAACGGATCTGTGGTGATTGGAAAGACGTATTTTTTTGTATCTTTAACTGCTTTTTTTTGCTTCTACAATGAATTTTTAGATACCGTGTTTTTAAGCAAAATTTTACTAAAATTGCGATATTTGCCAACGTTGCAAGTAAGAAAAAAACAATTTACGGTGCATGTGCAGCGTTTCAAGCTGCATTCCATGAGCTAATAAAAATGGGTAGTTCTATTTAAAAAAATACACTTTGATCTTGCCTCGCTTTTCTGAGATACTCTGTATCATATAAAATATTTTTAAAATGTGCGCACTTCGTGCGTCAACAACTTTTATATGAAACTATTTTTGGAAAGTTCAACACCAACGGAAATAATGGACTCTCTCGCACTAACCAAACCACCCTGTATGTTAAATATTTGATATGTAAGGTTTTAGTTTTAAGAAATTATATTATTAAAACTCTCGTTAATGGTTTAAATTAATTATTTCGTTTTTTACTGTGTGCATCATTCAATAAATTGTTTTCACCAAATTATATTTTACTGAATGCCTGAACTTACTTTTTCGACCACTTTTTGTGGCTTGAAAAATCACGATTTTCCCGTGTTTTAATGCAGACAGTTCATTATTTAAAATGTATCAACTGTTCAACAAAAAACCAACCCAACCTAAGCAAAAATAACTCAGCATGTATCGAAATCTTCTTGTACAAAAAGCCGAAATAAGGATATATATTAGATCTGACCGTATCTGGTAAATTATTTTTAAAAAGCCCATTAATAAAATAGTAGTTTTCGATACCAGGGCGAAAAGTGTCGTTTTTCAAACCATGACGACGTTTGTAAATCCGTCAGGAGTTCGAAAAACGGATTTTCGCCCTCGTGTCGAACAATATTTTTTATTCGAATAAAGGACATAACCCGAATAATAAGTTATAATAAATAAAAATAGTCAAAAATAAAAGTCATCAACTTCATAATTTAAATATGATGTCAATGTCATTTTTGAAATTGTCACGTTTTAATGGTTGTAATTTTTCTTTTGCGCTTTCAGAAAAAATCGTGGTTTGCTTATGGCAACATCGGTGAGCGCAGAAAAATAGACTTTTTGAACGACTTTGGGATTGAACTTGTAACAAAGTTATAATTTACAAATTGTAAGTAAACTTTAAATTATGATCACGCACGTAATTAATTAAAAAAGCCTGCAGTTTACTTTTCAATGAAAATAGTTTAAAATATCTTATGACAGTGACACGCTCAATCTGTCACATTTACTCTTGCGCACATGTGCGTAAAAGTCCGTACGTAAAAGTAAAACAAATGAACAGTAAAGAAAAGTAATTTTTTTTATCTTCGCTTCTGATCGAAAAATGGTACTTTTAGATTCATTCGAATAAAAACAGGATTTCTTTGTACATTTCGCGAAAATTGCAAATTTTATGCGGGATTTAGTAATGAAGCGAACATTTGGCTGTGCGATTTCAAAAGTCACAGTTGCTGTCGGTGATTTTATGAAACAACCTGTATATTATAAAATACTTTTACCATTCACAGACTGCAAAATTAAGGAAAAACGGTGTGAACCGTTAAAACAGTTTACGTTTAGACGTAATTAAACGATTTTATACTCAAGCGACACCCTGTATGTATTTCCTCTTGCGTTTAGTTGATGCCGTGAATTTAAAGAAATTAACCACTGCGCTTTTAATTCCGCCTTTTTGCCTCATTAAGGCATTCAGATTAAAATAAAGTCTCATAACACTACGTTTTTTTTAAACGCCAGTTTTTCGTATCTTTAAAAGTATTCGAGGAAAAAGCATAAATACTTTGCCGATTACTCGTAATTATCATTAATAGTTACTTGGACATAATAGGCGTCTAATACACGTTTATCATTTTTGGGTTTGCATGCTTTAGCAATAAAACTATTATCAGTGAGTGCTAATTAGGTATTTTTASCAATTTAACTTGGCTTATGCTCACTTTTTGAGGAATAAGTTCCGCAGGGATSAAAAAAAGTTAAAATTTTCCWCCYAAAGGACCTTTATTATACTTATTTGCTAAAAAGTAATTTCTYATCTTTCGCGTTTTTTGTTAATTTTTGCTTTTACTAAAAATTGKTAATTGTGCTCTGTGTTTGCAGAACAGTTGTAATATTCAATTTTTCATTATTTAATTCATTTTAATTCAACGGTTTCTAATAGATCCATCTAATTTTTGCCCCAAAGGAGGATTTTCAAATTTCTTAAAGCAATTGTCAAAATACATAGTATAATTAGTAAAATGTAAATGTTGGTTGATGAGTTTACACTTATTCAAACGTTTTCAATTTAATTCAGGACCAACTTTTACATATCCTGAATTAAAGTATTTTATTAACAGAATCGAACTTTATGGTACATAAAMGTACATTAATTTCGCTGGGGGACTTTCGTGGGACTACTTTATAAGAAAATTTGTATATATAAGTACACCGATCTTTGAAATAGCTTTGTGACTTAAAAAATGTTATTTATAAAATTATATCTATTACTTAAAATTTGTCTACACTTCTTCTAAAAATCCTGCTAAAATGAAAAAAATAAGTGAAATTTTTAGAAACAATCACTTTTCTTCCCAGCTATATAATTTCTAAAAATGTTTAGTAAAATCACCTTAACTTGGTTTACAAAAAAGTGCAGTGTTTCTTGCAAATAACAGATTTCGGAACGCAAAAAAAATTAATGTTTGTTAATTGAAAAGATTTGTATCTTTGTAGAGTGGAACAAACACTATATTTGCCTTTATTAACTTTACGAAGCTTAGCAGCTTTTCTGATTTTTACAACAGTAAAAATTACCTTCCAATAATTTGCGTATATTTTTATCAGACGAGCAAATTTGAGTTTGCTTCAAAAAATGTTTTAAATTGTTTATTTCATAACGTTTCGGCGAGACAACAGCGCCATCATCAGATTTAAAATTCATACAAACTACAAACACCAATTTACAATTAAAATACATGTTGTACAAAAAGTATAATTTATAAAGCGTTAAAACATTCATTAGTTTTTGAGGAAACAAAACTTTTTTTTTGGGAGAGGAAAACATTTAAAAAACTTACCTCATAATTGGGAAATATTAGATTCTTTTAGGTCTTTACTGTCTTAACTAGTGGCCCTTGTGAAAAATTAAAACTATTTTGAGGTTTCAAGACAGCAAAGACCTAAAAGAATCTAATATTTTGCAATTATGAGATAAGTTTTTCAAATGGTTTGCTCTCCCAGAAAAAAGGTTTTTTGTCCGCAAGAACTAATTAATGTTTTAACGCTTTATCAATTATACTTTTTGTAGAGCATATGTTTTAATTGTAAATTGGCGTTTGTAGTTTGTATTAATTTTAAATCTGATGCGTCATCATCTCTTGTCTCGACGAAACGTTATGAAATAAACGAAACAAACGGACGTACAATTTTTATTTTACACGTTTACTGAAACTCAGGAAAGAAAAGAATATAATAATAATTTGTAATCTTTAAGTTTATAATTTTTTACGGTCAGATACTCAGATCTGAAGTGATTATTTTATACATTGTAACGTGAACTAACTTTCTTACCCGCTAAGATTCGGTGTCCGATTGGGGAAATAAAATAGCAGTTTGTTTTCCCAATCCAAATATTTTCACATTGGTGGAAAGTTGGGAGTCCGCAGATCCACAAAATATATATTTTTCTTTAGTAAGAAATTCCTTATCGTCAAGGTGTATAAACATTTATATAAACGTGAACTAGATATTCACCTAGTTTTTCAAATTTTAGTTCTATTTTTAAGAATTTCTTCTATGGTCAAGTCTTGGCAGTTTTAATTAACATGTTTCCTTCATTCAGATCATCATTGAAGGAAAACTCAAGATTATGGTAGATTTTATTGTTTATTAAACGCTTAGCTGGACAACACTGACCCATTTAACATACATGTTCCCGATTTCTTTCTAGCTCGCTATGTAGGTATACTTACTCACAAATGGTTTATTTTCAAAAAATGCCTTTTTATTACATATATATTTGTAAAGAAATATTTATAGTGGCATAAGTAACTGTAGACTTCTCTTACCTCGTTTCTGATGGAACTTCTTCATTGTGTTATATGTCTTCTCTTATACCCAATCGAAATTTGATTATATTTTAATGCAATGAAAATGTTGAAAATTGTGGATTTTAAGAAAACTCGATTGACCTTAGACGGTAACTACCTTTTATTTCTTAATATATGAAACGGAAGCTGTATTTTCATTTTCTTGGCTTTCCGGTGCTGGGTCTTGAATCTTTCTCGATCTTCTTTTCTTCGCTTCTTCGTATGCTTCGACATGGCAACTAGTTCTATGTAAATGTTAATATACACGTATTTACGTGTTTTACTCGGATGAAATCCGCTTGAATTTTTAGTTAGGGGATTATTGAACATAATTATGAAAAAGTTACAGACATGCATTTTCATCGTTGCTTTCACCTTGGAAATTATCACGGTGTTGTTTTTCTGAAAAATGCAGTTAACACTACAGTATGTCGCTTTGCGCTTATGTATCCATATTTAAGAAGGTGAATTTTGTGTTATTTTATGAAAAGGAAATGTTTGTTGTTTAGTTTTTCATATTTTCTTTCACTTTCTTAATGTATATTAAATTTCAGAGTCTACATAACTCGCTGCGCCAAATAATTAAAAAATATACCGGATTATAGTAGACCTATTGGTCTTAAAGACCATTAAATATTAGCAAGAAATGCTTTTGTTGGCTTAATGGCGAATGATTGGTGATGATCTTGCGCTTGACGTTTTGACTGCAAATTATACGCTATTAAATAAGCGTAATAAAAACACAAATGCTGAATATTTTTTGAAAATTAACGGCAAATCTGATATTTTGTATTCATAAAGTGGACATTAGACTACGGGTTGTTACGCAAAATTTGTGCGAATTTTAAATTGAAAAATCATTCACCATCATCTGAAAAATCAACTTTTACAACAAAAGAATACGTTTTCAGAGAACTTTAATCGATTTTTAACAGTTTATTAAGAATTATATTAGCCCCAAGTTAAATATAAAATGTAAAAATTCTCTAGGTGAAAAGAATTGAGAATGTATAAATATTATAGTAATCGCTTAAGAGTAATTTTATGCGTGCTGTTGCCTTAAAAAGTCTATAAAACGCTAACAAAAATTAAACGAAAAACGCGTGTGCGTCATACAAGAACAAATTATGAAGACTTGTAAAAATTCGAATACAGCGCAGCATTTAGAGAAAACAACCTTCAATATAAATGGAAAAAAGGCATGCAAAATGAAACGCAAATTTACTTCTGCTGGCTCAGTGGGTCAAGTTTCAGTATAGCAGCGTGACGTCTTGCAGGAATCCACCCCTAGCTCAATGGCATCAAACCTTAACCTCAAAATGGGGTGGCAATCGATGCATAACGTCACCTTGAACTTGGTCCTAAACAAGTCACCACCTGTTGCTAACCGCTCTTGGCACGTGTTTGGTCCGATTCACTGCTGCCACCCGCGCAACCGGTTTAGCTGTCAAAAGTATGTGATAAATGACTAAGTTGACACAGTTCTACCGCCCGGATACAGTCTTAGTGTCAGTTCAAGTGGTTTTTGCTCAATTTGTCTGTGATTTTCAAACTAGTCTAGCACTGGATTGCTCATAACAGTAACACGCGCGACACATTCGTTTATAGTTCGCGTGAGCGAGCTCTAAACCGATAGAGCAGCAACCTGAAGCGATTGCTTTGGTGAGCATGGAGTTCGCAATTTTTGCTCTAAAACTGAATCAACCCCGCACAGTTCGAAAGTTGAACACGAACTAAACTAAACTAAAATAATAATTTTGCAAGTGAAGCATTCTTGAAGCTGTGTCATCGGCGTTAGGAACGCATGTGCAATAAGGTTGCATTGTTGCAATTGCAATCGCTCTCACGCGTCCTTTTCTAGGTTTTGCATTAATCCAATGTTATTTGTGGTGGGGAGGGGTTGATTTCCCTTCCTCTCACGCGCTCTATCAGGAAGGTGGAGCCTGACCCTTAATTTTGGGTGTAGTTTACCTGTCGGATTGTATATTGGATTATTGGAATGTGCGGAAATTGCACAAGACGTTCGAATTAGTTCGGTGGTGTTTCAATTTGTATTGCGTTTACGCACGAACTCATACTTTGTTAATTTGGAGATTGGCAGCTTTGAAACGGTCACCTGGAAAGGACTGAATGTCTCCCAGACCGTGTTGAGGGAAAATTAAATTTTTGCATTCTAAACCGGTGTAAAATTTTTTGTTCTAGAATTTATTTTGCAATTGAACAAAGAAGAATTTTTAACAGGGTGGGCTACTAAAAGAAAATATACACTATCAATAGTGCAACTTTTTGAAAATTATATGACAATCCCGATATTATAATTGATCGTGTATGACATTGTCAATAAATGCAAGTCGCTTTCAGACAACAAAGTAGGCGTTGCTTAACCATGACAACTACAATTGTTGAATGAAACAAGTGAACATATTTTTACATTTGTTTTTATTTTATAAATAGTAACGTGTCAAATGTAAATCAACTTTTAAATAATTTGTTTGGATAAGGGGGTTTTAATGAAATTAAAGTTTAAAATAATAATGCGAGGCGTGTTTTATAGTTTTTTGAACATAGTCTATGCTAATTTCGCCATTTCAAGATGCATTTCAATTTCAAAAGACAAAAGAAAGAAGGTGCTAAACTAGCGGATATTGCAAGATAGGTTGTGTTACCCCAGGACAGTGTATCTAAAATAATTGTTTACGATAATAAGAGAGGACATTTAGATAAGTTACGAAAATCGGGGAGGCAAAAAAAACAACAGTTATGACCTGTCTATAGACTTTGTATACCTACAAGTGGTTGTTTAGGGGATTTTACTCATTGATTGGTTCGTTGAATTCAACTGCTTTTTTAAAAGTTTCATCGGTTTTTTAGAGTTTACCATTATATCAACTACTATATGGACTATCACATCTATAATAAATTTTCCAAAAAGAAAAAATTAAATATGGGTCGATCAATTTTTTGTTTTATGTCGAGTAAAAATGAGCACGTTCTCGTTTCGTATTTTCAATGTGTTGCTAGGTAATCGGGGAACGTAAAGCTCTATTCTACACCAAACTTCATAAATTACGTGTCGTGAATGAAAATCGTTCTGAAGCAAAGTAGCCAGTAATTCACTTTAAATAACGATAAAAAATTATATGATTTAGTTTTCGATTCAATTGGCGGCTTTAACACAGACGGACTATTAGCAGTTTTCGATGGAACGTAGTTATTTCTAATACATTTTATTTTCATTTACAGTTTTGTTCAAAATAGTGTTTTGAATTGTTTAGCAAAGTGGTTATTTAAAAAAATGTTTTTGTTTTTGCTACAATGTCTGCTTTATAATTCATTTCCAATAGTTTATACCATTAATAATACAACTTTCGCATCTCTGTGCTTTGCGAAATTTATGTTGTCTTAAAATGAGCAACAGTTTATGTAAATTAGCACTAGATTACTGTAAGTATCAAATTTAATAGGTTAAAGGAATATGGATTATGGAACTCCTTCTTTTTAAGAACAATTCTATTGACAATTAAGTACATGTTACAATAATTACTGTATAGTAACAAATTTTTTAACAGCTTATGTATACAAAAATAAATAAATAAAAATACTTATCAACTTGAATTCATATATACAGAGCGTCATTGTTAAAATTTGATATATTTTCCCCAAATTTAATAGTACATATTTAAACACTGTTTAATTTTCCTTTCATTAGCATTAGAAGCATTTACAATGATTGTGATTACTTTTAGTCGTGGATTCTGCCTTGAACGAAACGGATTTTTAAATTTAACTTTAAACTGATAATCTTTTGAAATTCGATTTTCTTGGAAATTAAATTTTGATTTTTAATTCGAATTAGTTTTTCGTTGTTCTGTAGTTTTACTTCCTTAGTGGAGCTGGTTTACCGTGAGATGAATTCGAGACCCAAAAATCGTTAGTCTTTATATTGTTGTAAAAAAATGATATTATTGATAAACTTTGCGATAAAGCCCAATTAAGCTTTTAAAGTAAATAATATGTAGACATTTTAACGGGACAATTTCCTTGAGACTCTTAGAACAAAAATTCATACAAATATCATCGTTTTAAATGCGAAAAACTTGTATCCATATATAAAGTAAGTTCATTATATTCAATTTGTTCAAATTGTAATCATTTGGAGTGCTATTTAAATGTCACTTTATTTGAATTAAAATAATTTATTGAAACAAGGTTGCGTCTAGTTGAGCATCTATAACTGCACTCAATGTGTCCAACTGTTCGTAAACATTTAAACACAATCGGACGATTAATTATGTACAGTTGAATGTAACGCAAACTTTTAATCGTTTCTGGTCAGGGAAAATTGAAGACAAATAATAAAATGTATTGATTGTCACTGTTTTGTACAGGCGAATTGTTTGGAATGTTCATTTGAACTTGAACCATTCAATTTGATGCAGGAATAGTTCTGAAGTTTATTTCCGAGTGTTGCTGCTAATAATCGTTGCTACATCTGGAGTTTGGCTTGTTGCAGTTGTGGTTTCAGTCTCTTCAACAGCTTGGGATTCTTCCTTTGAGGAATCACTGTCTTCATCGTCATCATCATCTTCATCATCTTCTGTGTCATCACTTTCAGCCGTTTCTTCCGATACTTTTGCATCAGCATTTCCTTTGCCTTTTTTCTGCTTTCTAAGCTTTTCTTCCATTTCTTGGAACTTCATGGCCAAGTACCTAAACATTGCGTAAAATTTACTGAAGTTTACAAGTTAAAGCGCTGAATGTTCACTTACTTGTCGACTAGAGGTCCGCTATAATCTTCGGGAAACTTGGGTGAAAGTGGAATAATGTATTTGTACAATCGCTCATTTAGCACGTAAAGTTGGGCAGTGGAAGCGCACTTAACATTGTACCACCAATCGCAGGTTAAAGCGACTTGACTGAAGATGGTTCCATTTGGGCAGAGAAACGATGCTTGGCCTCCGTTCAGATCGCAATAGTGCCAAACCTATAATAAATTTATATTAAATTATTTGGTATTAAATTAGGTATGGTATTATTCAAATCTACCGGCATTGTTCGCTTGCGAATCGATGCATTTACTGTAAACGCAAAGCGATATAATATTACCTGCGGAATTTGGTTGCATTACGGTCGCTTTAAGGTGCATCAGCTATATTAAATGATAAATGATATGGGATTTTCATACTTTTTTACATACACCTTTTAAGTAAATTACAATTTTATTGTCACTGAGCAAATTTTTTATATTTGTCATTTTATTATCAAAATTATTGTTTATATTGATTTTTTTAAACTGTCATGTTTCCTTTCATTTGCTCTTAATGTTTTAAATATTTGCAACTTTTTTGTTCATTATTTCCTTCAATTTTGCTCCCACGATTTGTTGATTTTCATACTTTAACTAGTATCAATTGCGTTTGTAATTATTTAAAAATACATTATTTGCTTTAGATACTTTTCACTTAATTTCATGACGAATAACGTATTAACAAAACATGATAATTCAATTTTGAGTTGTCAAAATTGGCCAATGAAAATTAGCAGGAAGTTATGAATTTGCAATATAATTAATGTGGAAATTACAAATGAAACCTGAACTGTTATATTCTAATTTACTTGAACAAATAGAAAATTTGTGCAAGTCTAGTCGAATTAGTTGCATATGAAGCCTTATTGTGGAATCATACTTCGTTATGTTATGTGTCACAAAATTAACACACAAGAGCCCACCGCTAATTAATAATCAAGTCAGTAGTATGGGCAGATTATTAAAATAAAATCGCCATAAAATATCACATATTTCGTTTTGATTCGGATTATTTGGTTCCGACATAAAATTTATTTGTTGCTATAAATTATTTATTTTAATAAATGCTTTTTTAAATAAATTCGAAGCTCTCGATCACCCGACTAATATTTCACTCGAATTGATTACAGCACGTGTAATGCCTCGAAGGAAAACTTCTGCTCCCCATTAAACTTTGTATAGTTTGCAACAAATACGAAATTACATCGTTGGAAAGAGCAAAAGTATAAATCAAGGGTTCTTATGCGCTTTACGAGCACAAAGCACGAGTTTTATTAAAAATAGTAATGAAATTTCAGGTTTTCGCTGGATATCTTCGAAAACGATATATTGTACAATTCATTTTGTTTTATCGACAGACCGGTTGTAAAGCATTTAGGTGGATAACTATAAAACGAATTAATAATTGCTAGATTTGAAGATTTGAAGAAATACAAGAAGTGAACATGTTATAAGGGTGGCATGTAAGTGCATATGGCTACTTTCATGTGGTCAAAATATCCATAACGATTTTTTTTTATGATTTAAGATATTAAACCCTTTACACTGAGATGCCAACGTGTATGCACTTTACACGCATTATATTCTCAGCATTTCGGAGAGATAAATATACCTTATTTGTTTAATAAAAATCTGTCCAATTGCTTTTCCATGTTTGCCAGAATCGCATCGAGCTCCGTTTTTTACCTGGAAATCGTTGAATATATAACGATCATTAGATGAAGACCTCGAAACAGTTGAAGGAAATTTAAAAGTAGGTCGATGATAGCTTAGAAATAGAAAAAAACTGGGTAAACAATTGGTGTATTTAAAACCAACATGTTTTCTTGTGTTTCTTTAGATTGTTGTCTTAGATAGACAAATATCCGTTAGTATGAAAGAAAAGTTGTCAGTGGAATATATTAAAGACTGAGTTTGACAAATTATTGCTATTATTGACAAGGGCTATCCACCTGTAACTATCTGTGAATGACAAAAACATCATTGCCGCTGTGCCTTTTCATCAAAAAACTGTAGAAGATTACTTTTTTGACATCAAAAATTTTCCTAATTTGAAGCAAAGATATTAATTTTTCTTTTTGAATGCTTAAGTATGCCAATATGCTACCAATTAAAGAAGGAACAATTTCAAAATAATGCTTAATACCAAAGTTGAGATTCGATCTTCAACTGTTAATATTCTAAAGTCGAAATTTTAAAAATTTTCAATATTTGTCTCGTACTCTCCAAGGGAGTATCTATCACCTCTTATAAGGAATGACGCCAATTTTGAATCACCCTGTATATAAACGTCGAACTGTATATATAGGGTGGTTTTTTGTGCGAGAGAGTCCATTATTTCCGTTGGTGTGGAACTTTCCAAAATTAGTTTCATATAAAAGTTGTTGACGCACAAAGTGCGCACATTTTAAAAATATTCGAATCAATCGACACAACCCAAACTAATCAAATCAAACCAAAACGAACCCAAATAAATCCAACCCGGTCTAATACAATTTACAATACAATTAATACAATCGTTTATTGTATTATCGGTTGAGGATTGAAATGGACAATTGACGAATGGAATACTAATTTCTAAACAAAGACAAATTGATTATTAAGATCAAAATATTGTTCGCAACTAAACATGATTACAGATTTTTGAAAACCAACAAAATTCAAAAATGTGGTAAATTACCTTTTTTTGCAATTGCAGTCACTACCACTCAAGGCGTCACACTATCCCCAACGGAACGGCAACGATACGACAAAACATTCTTATAAGATAGTAGGGAGTTTTTCGGCCCCTTAATTGCAACACGTTTTACTTTATTCTGAGCATGCGCATTGGTAAAGAAATAACCGTTTACGTTATTAGAGGATAACGTGTTCCTTTGATTTGAATCCTTTGATTTGTACGACTAGAGGTAACGTTAATAAGCATCACGTTAAAAAGCAGAACGACGATGTTGACATATTTGTAATATTATTAATAAAATAAGCGGCTATAATAGAATAATAAATGTATTGTAAATTTAAATAAAACTTTTTCGTTGATCATTTTTACGCCATTATTGCGTAATTACGGATTTTATGTTTCTTCTCGTTTTTGTTTTTTATGTTTGGGTAAATTTGAACTTTGGCAATACTACTAAAATCACAGGGACAGGTTCTAACTTCTAACCCATAACCTAACTATTCGATTTTGAATTTTTATTTTTCGTTCTCCGTTTCGTTAACCAATAGTGAAATGGACGTGGTAAGGAAAAGAATGCGTTTTTTTTTCTGGTATTCGGAGACATTGAACCAGCCGCGGAATATGGTCCTCCTGAAACCTAAAATTGATAAGGCAATCTCTGGACTCAATATTTTCTAAATTAAAAATAACTCTTCGGTTTGCAACAACAGGTGGGTCAAAAATTAAACCTCTGATCCACATCTCACTGGTCATTCCGGCGCAGAAAGGTAGCTTTAATGTTTTCTTCCAGCTAAGCCACTTTTTGCTTAATAACAATACAAACTTAAACAGCTTTGACGGGATAAGAAAACAGTAAGGTGAGGTTTATTTTATTAAGAGTGAGACAAACGCGGTATCAAAAACTAAAAAACTCTCGTAACGTTATTTGTTTGCCCGAACACCTTAGTTATTTAACACTGTGCATGATCAGAATAACGTTTAGCGTTTAAGGCCAACGCAATTTTAAGGGGCCTAAAAACTCTCTAGTAAATGATGGTGTTCACGTTAACCGACAACGACGAAGCCGACCGACATTCTTAGCAAGAATGAGAGAGAAAAATTTTTGTCGTGACGTTGCCGGTTCGTTGAGGGCCGAACAAATCAGCTAAAATTCAAATTATTCATGAATCTCTAAAACGCAATCCTATTGGTTGTGACGTCTCTAGTCATATAAATGGCGGATTGTTTACGTTCTGTGCATAGTGTTTAGTTGTGTGGTTGTGTTTAATTAATTATTTTGTGGATTTAAATAATTTATAGTTTGCATCAGCAAACAATTTACCATGTGTACATATTTTTATGGCAATCGAATTTTAAAAAAACGACGGGCGTTTTAAGCAGCAGCGTAAGTAAAAATCCGTAAATTTATTAGTTACTCTCTCATTAATATACTAATATGTCTGTATTGGTTTAAATTAGGTAAATAATATATAGAATTTCACTTATTCAACTTAACCTAACCTATACACATGGCTGCTTTAAAAGTAAAATACACTCTTAAATTTGTATTTTTGTCATCACGAGAACAATATGGTGATATCGGGTATGTGGAATTGAAACACGAGGGTTCTTTGTGCACAGTACAAGTTAGAATTTGCCCAGAACACAGAGTACGATCGATGGCATATTCTGTCTGCCTCATCATTAACTTTTTGGTCGTACTTCCATTAAAATGAACTTCGCAACAAAAAAACATTGATTTTGATTTAGGAACATCACGTCTAGCTGCTTTGAACCATAAAACTGTACGTGCATAATTATGAGGAACGGTTAGAAAGAGTTTATTTGGAGCACTTATTGAGGAATTCTTGCATCCTGGCACAAAACATCACTTATTTTGTGATCCATACATGTCACTATTTTCCATTATGCAAGATAATAATAATAATCAATAAAATAATGATAATCACAATAACTTAAATAATAAAACAAAGCTGCGAAAACCACAAAATAAACACGAGACACTTTGTTGATATGACCTGCTACGCCACAATCGGGATAGGCAACCGACGATACGTATTCGGCGGTTTTGGCGGAAAATATCTGATTTGAATTTAAATTCGCTTTAAAATTATTATGGAGACTTTTTTGGCAAAAAAATTATATCAGTGTGATGTTTGCCATAACTACTTTCTATATATCAACATTAAAAAAAAGTTGAAACACCTTATTATAAGTAGTTTTACAAATTTACAATATATTTACAAACACCGTGTATAGTATATTACGAAGATGTGCCGGGCCCCCAGGCACAACACTGGTTCAGACAACAAACTGCTCATTAGTTTATTGCTATCAGTGTCGTGCCCAAAAAGCTAAGCACAACAAATATATTAGAATGTTGTCGAATTCGTGCGCAATTATTCACTCACGACAGTCAACATTGTATAACATGTTGATAAAGAGTTGTCTGAAACAGTCAACTCTTTATCCGAACAACTTCACTTATCACATATTGATCATAACAACAAGAGACCAATTATGTGACCTGAAAACCTTTTGTTTCAAAAATAGTCTGGAAAACGTTTTGAAATTGAAATTTATGTAGTACTTGAAGGCGGGTTATAAAACAAGTTTCTCGAGCTAAACGTGTTTGGTGTTGGTTGCACTTAAAACCCGTTTGTAAACCTGAATACTTTTTCGTATTTACTTACCTGGCAGTTAGTATCTGGATCCCCAAAGAATCCCTTATACCTCTGGGTCTTGCAGCTGAAAGTGGTTTTAGGGATGGAAGATAACGCGGGATAATCCACTCCTGCTTTACCGGGAGTTCCACCTTCTGGACTATCCACAACATCGCCTCCCAAATCCACACCAGCCTCATTATCGTACTCATATTCGTCCTGGACTACTACTGGTTTCTGCTGCTTCTAAATTAGAAGTCCAGTCGAATGGCAGTGCAAATGAAACCCCATATTCTCCTCTTACCTGTCTTTCCTTAAGAGCGTTGAGGATTTTCACCAAGGTCTTAATGCTGTTGTCAATGTTATCCGCAGTTAAAGTTTGAGGTAAAGCGTTGCTGTCTTGGAGTTTCTTCAAAACTTCTGCCAGAGAATTTCCTTTGGAACTTTCCAGCTTTGGGGCAGTTGGCGTTGCTGCGTACTCTTGTTCATACGGTTTAGGGTTTTGAATGGTTGGATGTGGTTTTTCAGGAACCCTTTGATGCTGGTAGGCTGGCTCAGGTTCCGATGTCGTAGGCGTGGGACTGATTGACTGATAATGGTAATAACCTTCTGGGTTATTGAACTGCACTGTAGATTCCGGAAATTTCGGTTGCAGCTGGTTGGGTTTTTGAGCTGGAACTTTATCCTCGTAGTTGGGAGCATCCAGGTGTTGGTATTCCTGGTGGTAGCCTTCGGTGGATCCTGGAGTCACTTGATATTGAGTCTCATAGGGATTTTCGTAAACTGGAGCTGGAGCTTCTTGTGGGACGAAAATTGGTCTCTGCTGTTGGTAGTTTTGATTCTTTGAAAACACCACTGGAGAGAACTGGAAGTGTTTGTTTTAATTGCAACTTTGTTTGGTCAGGTTTTTAAGTTTTTACATTTTCTGCAACGTAGCTTTCATCCACTATTGCCGCTGGCTTCGGCTTTCTTAGCAGGTAAATAGGCTGTTTGGGGCTTGGTTTATTCTGCTGGACGAGGATGTATGTTCTTGGTCGTTCCGTGGGGTGATTTGCAGGTTTCCTTACTGAAGCAAAATTGTCATAACATTCTCAAATGTGTCGATTTTTCATTAAAAATAAAAAAAACCATTATACATATACATCTTTATTTGCCATTAGTTGATAATATTTAACTACTTACCCTCCTGCGGATTATAATGGACTGGACTGCTCCCCTGTGGCACTTCCAGTAAAACCTGATGATGAATGTACGGTTTAATGTTTTCTCGAAATTGGTTCCGCACCGGCACTTCTTTGCTTGGCGTCGGTGCTTGATGGTACCTATGAAGTTAATAATTTTTCCATTACACGAATTTTCAATTACTCGCAAACTCGTACCGTGGTGGTTCCTGATAGTCGTACTTTGCTTCCTCGTTTGCATCTGGTATATCGATGTTTGTGGCAGTGAAAGTTTCGATTGTAGTTTTAGATGGCTGGATTTTGTATCTGGGTACTTCGTAATTGGGCCGATGCTCTTGGATTTTTGGTGGCCTCTCTCTAAATCGATGCGGTGACACCAATCTGTATCCATAGGGCGCCCTCAGGTGCATCGCTTGCTGCCTGAAACAGATGCTTGATAATTTTTACTTTATTTTTATCAGTTCGTTACCTTAATTTCAGTTGAGCTAGTTTTTCGTATATGGCACTTAAATCAGACGATGGCTGGCTATGGGCGTTAACATCTTTATTTGAGTCTTCTGCTGTGGGAGGATTTTCCAACACAATGAATTGTGGCTTAGGATTGTTAATATTCACCATAGGCCTGAAAGGAGATTTTAAAAATGTTGTCTGATTGAATAGGATTTACAGCAATTAATTTGGTTTCAAGATTTTGGTCCTTCGAGTCGGATGTAGGTATTCCTAAGTGTAACAATTTTGTAAAATAGCCTTGAGCACATCAGCAAACAAAACATTAGGGCCAAATATAGGGACGGATGCAAAAAATGTTTTTCTCAGATGATCTAAAGACGCACTATTTACGTCGGTTTAACTTGATGGCTTTTATACCTAAATGAACCTGGTAGAGCATTGTTTTCTCGAAACGGATTGAATTTTTGGCCAGTTTGGTACACAGCATTCGATGGACGAAAATCAATTGGTTGAAGCTCTGGTTTCTTGATTGGTCTCCGTATTCCTTCATAATCTTTGTACTGTTGAGCAGAAACGCCAGCCTGATGGGGTCTGTAAATACCAATGAAAAAATCATGCTCTAAGAGTAAAAATTCGTTGCAAGATATTTGTTTTAATGAAGAAATCCTCAGGAATTATTAACTATAGATAAAACAAGCTTAATTCGGGTTTAAAAGGGGTTTTTCAAATATAAGTGAAAATAGATGTCTCAGCTGCGTCGCATGTTTGGTATAAATAAAAATAAAACTGCACAAAAGCTCATCTAATTTTTCTGAACTGGGTCATTAACCAGGTTTCCAGTTTTCCAAAGATAAATATTTCCAGCTGTAATATGGGCAATTTGCTTTCTGGTTATTCGATGTTCTTTTTTAATGAATTGGGATATTTTCCATGAATTTATCTAATTGTTGCTTGCTACAAGTTGCCTAAATACTTTGCAAGAACCAAATAACGTACGATTAGGCACATAGATGATGCAAATTATGTAATACTTGCGAAACTCAAATAGTTTCAAACAACTGAAAAATAGACCAGCAAAGTTGGATTAGGTAAAAGTTGTAAGAACTTTGCTAATTATCAACGTGTTTGCCGGTGGAAAGGAAGTAGGTACATAATAATATCTTGTCGAAGTACAGAGTTAATACCAAAAGTTTATTCGAAAATATCAGCAAGTTTGCAGCAGCGAAAAGAATCAAATCAGTTCTGCTTCATTTTTCAAACATCTTGGATATATGACACTAGAGCAAAAAAAAGTAAAAATATCTATAACTAATTGAACTTTTCCTAACTTAACTTATAATTAATCATGTTATATGGAAAATTCTCTTACCTGTTAAACGGTTGATTGAAATAAAAATTCTGATACGGCAGCAGCCGTTTTTTTCTCTCAGACGAAGATAGTGTTAGATTGAGGTCTGTTAGAAGTAATGAACTGCTGTTTGCTTCATATGTTGGTGCGAAAGTTGTCAGTGTGGATGTGATCAAATCGGGTTTATCGTGGTGGATAGTCGTGATGCCGGAAACACTAAAAAGGCCTGAAAAAAATTGAGTGTATAACAATTCTGCACAAAGTAGAACGTGTCGATGGAATATAAGTTTGAATATACTGTAGGTAGTACATATTGACCTCAAATGCGGCCTAAGAGGCGATATTGGGAATGCTCAATCCAAATGTAAATTATATTTCTGTAGATTCTACAATACCAATTTATCTAGTTGTTTGCTTGGAATATTAAGTTGACAGAGCGAAAATTGTGTACAAACGATCTAGATTTCAATTTCATATTGATTCATTTTTGGAAAATGTCCGTTTGCTGAAGGAATTTTAAGCAGCACAGCTAATCGATCTGTGAAATTTTATTTATACAAATCTAAGCGTTCCCCACGATTGTATTACTGAATACCAGACATTAAAGAAGGTTTTTTAAATTTTCCCCTTTCAATAGTCACATTACATGAAACTTTGAAAATGTTGTTCATAACGGTCTAAGTTACTTTAATTTTTCATTTTTAAAGGGCAGAAGAGAATAGGAATGATTACAGATTTTGAAATACTGATGTATAATGTAGGTACACATCTGCTATTTGCGAAAAAGACATTGTTTTTGCAATAAATTAAATGTTGGATCAAATTATCACATTTTGATCTTTCTATTTTTGTATAAAGCGCGAAAACGCTCCTATATTTTCCTCTAAAACCATTTATTCTTTGATTCTTTTATATTGCCATCATGCCTATTCTACTCATTGTGTGTTGAACATTTCGAATCTAAACTTATATTTAGACACATTTACATTGTGGGTCGTTATATGAATCTTATAGTTTTACTTACAATGTTGACTTAAGGATCATAAACATACAGGGAGGTTTTTTAGTGGGATACCACAGATCCGTTAAGAATTCTATTGAACCAAAATAGCAATACCTTTTACAGGGTGTTAACAATGTGCACTTCAGTCTAAAACTTTTTAACGCAATATAACTTTTGTTTTTAAATAGAAGTACCTGTATATTAATACGTCTTTAGATAGACAATTTACAAAGTTTCAAATTTGCATTTACATTTTAAGCTGTGAAATCAACCGTTTTCAAATTATAATTTATTTTATTTAAAAATTTCAAAAAGTTGCTACATTTTGTAAGGTTACACTTATTTAATGAATTCCATAGCCACCTTACAAAATGTAACCAGTTTTTGAAATTTTTAAATAAAATAAGTTATAATTTGAAAACGGTTGATTTCACAGCTTAACGTGTAAATGCAAATTTGTAACTTTGTAAATTGTCCATTTAATGATGTATTAATATACAGGCACTTCCATTTGAAAAACAAAAGTTATATTTCGTTAAAAAGTTTTAGATTGAAGTCCACATTGTTAACACCCTGTACAATGTATTGATATTTTGATTCAATAGAATTCTTACTGGATCTGTGCTGATTGGAAAAACCTTTTTTTTTGTATATTTAACTGCTTTTTTTGCTTCTACAATGAATTTTTTAGATACTATGTTTTTAAGCAAACTTTTACTAAAATGGCGATAATCTGCCAACGTCGCAAGTACGAAAAAAACAATTTACGGTGCAAATGCAGCGTTTCAAGCTGCATTCCATGAGCTAATGAAAAATGGGTAGTTCTATTTAAAAAAATACAGTTTGATCTCGCTTTTCTGAGACACTCTGTATAATATAAGATATTGTTAAAATGTGCGCTAAATAAAATTAAAAATCATCAACAACATATGAAACTATTTCTCGAAAGTTCAACACCAACGATAATAATCGACTCTCTCGCATTAAAAAACCACCCTGCAGGTAACTTATAGGGCTAAAATTGCTTTTTCCAAGAGAAAATTCGTATGTTCTTTTTTCCAATTATGTTTCATAGGAATATTTAGTAATGCTTTTCGTGAAAACTTTTAAGTTAGAAGCAAAATTTAAAAAAATTGAGAAATCGTAGATGGATACAACGCAATGCTTCAGAAACGTCTCAATATAATAGAAGGTGTTCTTGGTGGAATTGGAGGCGAAAACAGGAGTAATACTCAAATTTTGCTTTCATGTGAACATTATCAATTGTTCTTAATTCAAATTTTACTTCGTGCACGGAGGTTTATAATTCTCTATCCAGTGGTAAGACCAGCGGCTCTTAAAGACAAATGGTTCTTGAAATGTAACCAAAAAGGCAAAAGTTTTAGCTGATGAACTATGATGAATTTTAGCCGTTGAAAACTGTCAACATATTTTCCAGTTGCTGTTTTATTTTGGACATCAACTATTCAATTTTCTATCCAGTGGTGTGAAAATCAGTGCGCCAGCTCAATTTGGTCTTGAAATATGAGCAAAAAGGGGGCGTCATGTTCGAAATGATTATCTGGTCTTGAATCTAAATGTGTAGTATTCAACTTCGATTTTTCTGTGAAAACTGCGATTATCATTATCATTAACTCATGGTTCACCTGGAAAATAGGTCTATCTAGTCGTAGGAAAAGATCGCGCTCTGGCTCGAAGCGACGTCTTGTTTGAGCCAAAATCGCGTATAGTCAAAAATTATGTGGATATTTGGCTTGTAGTGTTAAAATCGTTAATGATTTACAAACGCTGTTTCCTTTCAGTGACTTGCTAAAGATTATGTTTTCAGTTGTTTATGTTGTTGATTATGTTTCAGTCCTAAATGTGATTGGCGAAGAAAATTTCCCATATTTTCCCTGTGTTTACACGATAATCGAGTTATTTAATTTTTAGTTATCTATTCATAAAAGGGTCAATTTGGTTTGAAATCCAACTGGCAACTTTGTCAAATTTTTATAAAAGTTCAACTTTTTCTTCTCTAGAACTCAATGACGCTTGCGTTCTATAACTTTGTAGCGGCCGAAAAAACTTTATATAATTACCACTTGCTACAGATTTTCAGGCTTTGGGCTTAATAAACTTAGGAGTACAATGGAGGTGGCGGCGGCTTGATTTATAGTTTATGTCATCAACATTAAAAGAGTAAAAACTTCCGAAACCTCGTAACATCAGTTAAAATAAATGACAATGCGGATCAAGGTTGCGCATTCTCGTTAAAATCATTGCACTGATATTTAATCAACTACAACTTGTTTCAATCAAATAAACCAGAATCCTAATTCTGCAAATTGCTTGACTTTGATCTACCTTTACATCGCATTCTACAAGTACATGTTTTATGATTATTCTATTAAATGTCATTATCAGTTAGGTACAAATATGCGTTACAATAATTGTTGACGATTTATGATTGGATGAAGATTATTTAATCTATCAAGGATTCTACATACGTTCGTTTACACTTAGCTACAAAATTTTAATTATTAAAGCATTTTGATGATGGTTGATTCTGTTACGAAGATTTTCCTCGACTAAAACGATCTGAAAATGAATAAATACACTTTCTTGATTAGAAATTTCGAATTGCTTGGAGATTCAGCACACTTTACTTTCCACTATTCCAGTGAAAAATCGACCCCATGTGACTGATAGTTAATATAAACACCGGAAAATCGTCTTTATTTACTTTATTACGTCATGGCCCGGTTTAAAATATTTCCATTTTGATATTTAGCGGTGCAGATAGTAATGAAAGCAGTTAAACTAAGATTAATTTATTTAAATATTACCGTAATTCATGTAATCTAACGCACCAGAATCAATGAGATTTATTCAATAAGCCATGATTACGTATTTTCCTTCAACAATTAATAATTATCTTAAGCCAAAGTCCGTGAAGAACCAGTTAGTGGGTGCGAAGCAGTAAGCGAAATTATATGCATTTAGATGTGAGATTTATACTATTTTGTGGGAGACTTTCATTTTGCTATTGGTTCCCTAGTCACGACCAGCACTTGCAACCAGTGTTTTACTTGTACCTGCCGTACCACTTTCCTTCCTGTATTTTTTCCGATATTAAGGCATGGTTATAATTCATCTAAGTTCATTCTTCGGCTCGTTTTAGAAGGAAAACTTAAATGGGATTTTGTATTTTTATACAATATTTATTTAATGTTAAGGTAGCGTTAATTTGATTAGTTTTTATTAGTAAAATTGGATTTTTAGAACTTTTTAACATCTACAGAGTGGCACATTATGTTTAAGAGCATACAACTCTTTATATCTCAAAATTGTCCAGAAAATTCGTTGTTTTAGCCATCAAATTTGCGTGACCACCAAACCTTACAAAGAAGTGAAATATTTTCATCTTAATTTGTAATAATTATGTCAATTTCTATACTTCAATGTCTGAATATATTAAATAATATAACTAACGTTGTGGGAAATCATTGGACAAATCAGGAAGTTATTGCATATCGAGCAATAATAAATTATTTATGAATTTTATTGCGTTAGATGTAAATCACCCAGTTGATTTTTATTATGAGTTTCCTCTCATACGAATATATCGTTTTCTACACGAAAAATATGGAGCATTTATTTTCCATTGCCGGATGAATATATTGCCGGCTAGAAATCGGTCTGCACGACATATAATTATATTGATACGTACGAGATACTTTGGAAATTGTTGCTGTTTTATGTAATAATAGTTATTACTGAATATATTCAGGGCCAGTGGCCAATATAAGGATGTAGTGCATATGGGGATCTCCGTAATCGTAAGAGATACGAAGTCGGTTAAATTAGGGAAAAGTTGCGCAATCAGGGGGCCATGCACATGGCCTTTTCAGAAAACTGGAATTTCTTTTAATATTTGAGATATTTAGAAAAATGTGATTTTTCGGATTTTCGTTTTTTCTCATTTTTGAACTTATTTCGAATAATTGCTGAAAAAATTGCTGGTTTCAACAAGTCGGAACTCCTGCACACAATGCCAAACAAGTTCGAGACTAACGGATTCCAGGAAGATCGATCGAAACCAAGGACCCGGACCGAAATAAGTGTTCCGTTCCGGTTTCGGCCCGGTCGGTCTTAAAATTTCGGTTCCGTTGCGGTTCCGGTTTCGAAAATAATTTCCAATTCGGTTCCGTTCCGGTTCCGATTTTTTTTCGGTTCATTTCGTTTTCAAAATCTGTACAAAACTCCATACATACTCCATCTATACAAAATCTATACAAAAGACTCCCATACAAAAACTAATATAATGGTTGTATTTTTGGAAAGTAATTTGTCAATGAATTTTCTGACTTTAGCGCTTTTATCTTCTTTCCGTTATCACTCAGGTCCAACAGCTTCGTCAATTCCTCTTCTTTCACTCTTATTTCCGTTTAAACACTGTTCTTCTTGGTTCATGTCTTCACCATCTTTTGAGGAGTTGCTTTTGTCCAACATTTCAATTTCAAATGTTTTTCTGATGGTGATCGAAAAACTGAAATAATTCAACTTAAAAATAATTTAAAAAATACGTAGGGTGTTTGTTCTTTTCGATTGAAAAGTCGGTTTGTCCTCAAAAATAATTGTTCCACTAAATTTTTTTAACTAACTGAAAGAAGTGCCGACCCATTGTCGGCAAATTAATAGTACACCGCCGCCCACCAGAACACAGAAACGTAATTTTATATTAATTTGCAGGAGGATAAATGATTATTTTCATTTGCTTGTAAAATGTACAGTAATTTCTTTCAAACGTTACAAGCAGAACCCAAAAAGCACCGAAAAAACCGAAATAAAATATTTCAGTTCCGGTTCAGCACCTAACAGTGTGTTAATATCAAATATGGGTTCCGTTACGGTTCCCGTCCAAAAAAAAACGGTTCCGTTCCGGTTTTGGTCCATATCGGTTCCGGTCCGGGTCCCTGATCGGAACTGATGGTGACGTTTCCTGGCCAGCACGATCGCCAGACTTGACCCCACTCGACTTCTTCCTTTGGGGTTACATTCGCGGTAGCGATTTAGGATCGGTTGAGAACCGATAACGAACCGAATTAGGGCGCAGGTTCGGTTCAGTACTTGTTCGGAACCGATCCTTGATTCCTTCGATCCACGAACGCTTTTAGAACTACCTTTCAGTAGTACCAACAGGATTTTAGCTACTTTGCGCCCAACAGTAATTTCCCTAAACTGAAACGCAATGGAGTGAAAGTGGAAAGACGCAATTGCTGTGTTTTTTATGGTCTTGGTTTCTCTGCGAAATGTTACAGTTTTTGATTATTTTGAATAAAAAAGAATTATTGAGGTTTTTTTATCGCATTTAATTAATTCATTTTTAAAAGACCACTGAACAAACGCAAGATTTTACATCTGCTGTATTTGACCTACATTTTTTTATACATTTAAATTTAACAAAAACAAAATAAATAAAAATTTGCTGGCGGTGCAATTGGTACCACCGACGACCTTTTGTTTTTTTTGACCTTTTGAATTAAGAAACGACCATCCCGTTTCTTAATTCAAATTTATAGCTTTGTTTCCATTCACCCTGAGGCGAAAGAATTCTAACATATGTAGGCATCTTCAAGTTTATTTTAACATTGGCGTTCTGATCAAAATTAGTTAATTAAATGCGAAATAAACATAAAAAAATTAATAATTCTTAAACTTAATAGTGATTTACAAGTTATTATGCAAATAACAATTTTTTTCTTGATTTTTCTCTGGCAAAGTTACTTATTAAATCGTGAAAATCAATTAATCCATGGAGCGGTAGTTGAAAATAGAAAAATAAAAAATAGTACTTAATTTTAGGCGCAAGTATAGTTTTAGTTTTTCTAAAAGATGATAGCGATTCGACTTTGTCAGGTCGCGAATGAAATTTGTGAAAAGTGCGAAAAACGGATTTGATGTGTTTCCTTATGGCCTCTGGCGAAAAGTGGCAGTTTTTGATTAATTCGAATAAGATAAAATTATTAAGGTTTTTTTGATGTTTATATTGCGTTTAATTAACTAATTTTGATCAGAACGCCATTGTAAATGGATAAGCTTGGAATTGCCTACATATGTATTTATAACGTTTTAACTCTCATACTACATCGACAAATAAAGCCATTTATTTGCATTAGGAAAAAGATTACAATGCTGGTGCACGCGCATGCGATCTGTCGCCCGAATGCCTCTACGCGCATGCGCTCAGTTCCGAAGCAGTTTTGAATCGTTACTGCGAATAAAGTTATTAAAAACCAAGTAGTTTACGTTCACTATTTCCACTCCGAAGATTTTTTGTGGATAATTACGGAAGCATTTAATTCCATAACTCCAGATCGAGTATCCCAGGTAGTAGATTCATCGGTTAGAAGAGCATACATGTGTTTAGAAAATAATGGTTACCTGTTTGATCATTTATTATAAACTTTTTTTTTCGGTTTTATTAGATTCATTTTATCT